ATTTATTGCAAAACATTAGAACAACTGTACTGGAAACTTTCAGATCTTTGCCTGTTCACAGAGTTAAATACTTGCATAACACAGATTCAATGATTAATTGAGATTATAAATATGAAATATTAAAATAATTTTCATAGCGTGCATTATTGGTTTTAGGAAGGGGCCATCTACAAACTTTTGTAAAGTTATCGGTCTGCCTTTATGCTTATAGATGGTGAACATATTCTTGAGCACTGCTGAATAAGCCTTACATATTGTGCTTGTTTGGGTTTGTTGCATCTAATTCTAATTAAAATGTCAGCAGCAGTATTTGGAATACATTTTTGTAAATGAAGAGGATTTGATGAAGAGTAACTTTTCCATTTATGAGAGCTGCCTGTCATTACTAATGTATTGATGAAAAGCTGGTACAGTATGTAAAAATCCAGCTTTGAAATTCTGCATCTATTTAATAATTGCAGAGATGCATATGTGCTGTTGATCTTTACCACTGTGTGGATGTGAAATGTTACACATCACAGTATAATGATGTTGTAACTGTTTTTCTTAGATAACATAAATGCTATAGAAAGGATTTGCTAAGTATTAGTTGTCCAAAAATTATCATTATCGTTAAGTTGTTTTTTCTTATGGTTTGTACAGTAGGTCATATTACCACACAAATTTAAGCACATTTCAATCATAACCTATAATGCATTCTAACACCCTAAAAACGTATCATGTAAAGAATGTACTTTGTTTTGTCCTTTGTCTCATGTTAATATATCAGGTCCTCATTTTCACTGTTCCAAAATAAGCACACTGTCCTCTGGTGAATAGATGATAAGATTCTCCAGCAATTATAACAATGTATTCAAGTATGATAGAACATTTTTGGGAGTAAAATAATTTCAATGAGAAAAAATCTTGACAAACATGATTTCTATAAAATTAGAATTATACTGTACTGGAAATGTGTAATTTTTGTAGAATATGGGATCATTTCTGGAAACAGCAGTCTTAATCTTCAATAAATCTTCAACAAAATATCAAGAAAGAGTCTGCATGATAATTAACAAAATAGATTTTAGATAACAGATCTACATACTTTATAGTCCTATATCTTCATTCATTATATTCTGCAATGTTAATGCAAAATAGCTTTGATCCACTACTACAGTTTGACACTGAAGTTCTGTGGCCGATTATTGTTATAATGAAGCTTTTTATACTCTTATGAATAGTTTGAACTTAAAAGAAAGCACCTGGTCTGGTTTTACTGAACGTTTTCTGGTTTATCTTTATTCACTTGTGATTAACCTCTGATCAACATTTTACACTTTATCTTTTTGTGTTATTTAATTCAAGATCAAATGAGGAAATGGAAAAAAGAGTAACTATTCTTCACTGAGGAAAGCAGCAAAATTAACATTCAGGTCAATATGCAGCTGTCAAAGAGATATATAGTTGGTGGCAATGTAAGAGTAGATTAAAAAGCAACATCATATCCTTTTGTACTAAATGCTCTTCCATTTACAGTATGTAGTTTTTTTAAACCTTTTTATACAGTATATACAATTTATTAGCCATTAAAATGGCTGTTTTAAAAGTGTTTTTTTATAACAATATATGGTGAAAAACAGAAGATTAAGCTATGTAGAAAAAAGATTTGCCATGTGCAGTCATGCTTTGTTTAATTTGTGCCTTCAGTAAGCATCAGTTGAATTTTAACTGCACAATTGGAAGAAAGTAAAAGTGGAGATGCTGTGTAGTATTTAAGTCTTATAGACCGGTTGATCTTTTCACTTGTTTGTATGTCTGAAGAATAATTTCTTTTTTTAAAGATTAAAAGTTTTAATTTAAAATACATTTTGAAAAGTTCCCGCCATGTGTTGAGATTTCTGGGTTCTAATCCTCCCCATAGTTGCAGATATGTTCATTGGTGATTGCCCTACACTCCCAATTGTTTAAAGGGAGAGGAGTCCCCTTTAAACATTTTCAAAAAGGGTTAAATTCTTTAAAAAAGAATGGAAACACATGACAGGCACAGCACATCTTCCTAATGGGTTTGATGTGGTGATCAAGTGACAAGAATAGCTTGTATTCATTTGCCAGGTAAGTTATTATTCTGGACTTGTTAATGAAACTATCACACAATCAGAATTCACTTGAAACAGGTTGCATTGGCTGTATAATTGATGTACATTGCTTTAAAGCCTGCACAGCTCTTTTTTCTAATTAATTTTGAACTCGTAATTAGGAAAAGGGGAAATAAGTTATGTAGCTATCAAGGTGACATGCATTACTGCCTTTTCTGATTGTTTCTAAATACAGTATATTACTTTGTTTGCACCCTGAAGGATACACATACAAATTCCAGTCTGCTACATGGTATTGGATATTTGACTATTATTCATATAGAGACATTTTCTTTGGGTTTTAGACATACTGTATATTGTCAGGTAAATAAGTAAATATCAGATAATGAACAGGTAATAAGCTTATTCC